ACATACACAGCCATACGCACACACGCACACACACACACTGATATGCACACGCACATACACACACAGCCATACGCACACACATAGATACGCATACGCACACAGACAGACACACATACACACACATATAGGTAAATGGAATTGCACACGCACACGCATACACACAGATACGCACTCGCACGCACATGGACACAGACAGTCCCGCACATGCACACACATGCACACGGATACACGCACACACATATGCACACACTCACACACACCCGCACTCACACACGCACATGCAGACCTGAACTCACACACTCTTTCACGCACACCCAAGTGCGTATCTTCGTTACCGAAAACAAGGCACCCGGCGCGCTTCTCCCGACTGGCAGAGCGAGAGCATCTTTCACACAGGTAGCATCTCAGCAGCTTCCCAGAGAAAACGCACCGTGTAGCGCCAGCCACACGAAGCCCTCCACTCGGTTCTTGCAAACAATCTGCAAGGTAACTTGCAACAACAGAGGTCGGAACACCGCCCGACATTTCAAATGTGTGCAAAGAAGACTTCCTCTAAAATGGCTGACCTCCCGAGGGAAGAGAAGAGAGAGGAGACATTTACGACGGATCTCGTTAGGCTGCAAAAGCGCTACTGGGAGCATCGTGTGTTTGTCCCTGCCAGGACAAACACGCACGATGCTCTTTTCCTCATCGACACTGGCAGCGATTGTTCTATCATTTCCAAGAACTTCGTGTCTCCAGATCAAATCAAGCCATGCAAGATGAAGAAAATTGATTATTTGGCTGACTCCATAACGATCGTCGGACGAGCCTCCGTGGCGCTGACCCTGAGCAACGGCGCCTCATCGCTGGAGCTTGTGTACAAGATGTACGTGACCGAGAAGCTGAATGAGAGCCAGCTAGCCATGGACTTCCTCACCGACTTCTAGTGCGTCCTCGAGATTGGCTCGGACAAGATCACGCTCAACAGAACGCCACGCAAACGCCAGACCAAATATCTCATGCCCAGGCTTCACCTCAAGGTAAGCGTCGGCAACGGCAAAGCGTCTCGCTTTACCGCCTTGATGGACACAGGTGCCAGTACCATCATTTCTGTGAAAAAAGCGAGAGCCAACAAAATTCCGCTCAGGAAACAGATTAATAAACCCTAATTTTATCAAGTGAAGGACCCGCTCAGAGTATCCCACGGCAAGTCCTTTTGCACGCTGGAAGGAGTGATAGCGCATGCCGACGACGAGGACGACATGGTCGTGGGCTGCAAGGACCTCGAGCAGACGGTCCTTAGCATCAAGGACTGGTCGATCAGCTGCATGAGCAACAAGGGCGTCATTACGGTGCCGTTCCTGACCAACTGATCACTTTCTTGTCCTATGTTTGTAGTTTAATTGTGCTTATCATGTAGTTTGCTTATTAATAAAGAAAAAAGAAAAAAATATATATATACATATTAGGCGCTTGTGTCATCGTGTTTGCGTAGCAACATTAACGCACACACAGACATGCACACACACACACACACACACACACACACACACACACACACACACACACACACAGTCATACGCATACACGGACGCACACACAAAGATACGCACATGCACACGCTTACACACGCACACACACACGCACACGCACACGAGCACACACGCACGCACACACATACACACGCGCGCACACTCATAGACACACACGTACACATACACACTTTGTAGCTTAGTTGTGCTTATCATGTAGTTTGCTTATTAATTAAAAAAAAGAAAAAAAATATATATATACATATTAGGCGCTTGTGTCATCGTGTTTGCGTAGCAACATTAACGCACACACACACATGCACATACATGCACACACACACACACACACACACACACACACACACACACACACACACACACATACGTGCGCGCGCGCATGCACGGTCAAAGGCCATGGGAGTCCACCCTATACAAAATAATCCACTGCCTTGTGGCATCTGTAAGATGAAAAGGCTTCGCATACGCACACACACAGATACGCACACGCTCGCACATACACGTATACGGAAATCTATCCATCTGTCTATCTATCTGTCTATTTATACATCCATATATATGTGCATATATATATATATATATATATATATATATATATATATATATATATATATATATATGCGCTCCTATGCACACACACACACACACACACACACACACACACACACACACACACACACACACACACACACACACGCACATACACACACACAGCCATACGCACACACGGACGCACCCACACAGATACGCACATGCACACGCTCACACATGCACACACACACACGCACACGCACGCACGCACACACATACACACGCACACACGCTCACACATGCACACACACACACGCACTCGAGCACGCACGCACGCACGCACGCACGCACACACATACACACGCACACACACACACATACACACACACGTACACATATACACTTTCTTGTCCAATGTTTGTAGCTTAGTTGTGTTTATCATGTAGTTTGCTTATTAATCAAAAAACGGACCTATTGGTCCGGTTATAGCTCCGGTTATATATATATATATATATATATACATATATATATATATATATATATATATATATATATATATATATATATATATATGTGTATATATATATAT